GAGACCTGGAAGAAGCTCCTGGCTCCTAACCTCGGATCTGGGCAGCAGTGGCCATTGCAGTCACTTGGGGAATAAATCATGGGATGGAAGATCTTCCTCTCTGTGTTTCCTCTTCTCATATCTGACTTTGCAATAAAAATAAATAAATCTTTAAAATAAATAAATCTTTAAAAACAACAAAAAAAAAAAAAGAAAAAAACCCCAGAACACACGTGGGTGCCTCTACAGGTAGCACCTTCTTCCCACCCCACCTCCCAGCACCTCCCAGCATGCAAGGGGTCAGAATCTCCTGGGCCCCAGCGTGAGAGTGTAGCAGTTAAGGTCTTCGTCTTGAACGCACTGGGATCCCATATGGGCGCTGGTTCTATTCCTGGCAGCCCTGCTTCCCATCCAGCTCCCTGCCTGTGGCCTGGGAATGCAGTCTATGATGGCCCAGGGCTTTGGGACCCTGCACCTGCATGGGAGACCTGGAAGAAGCTCCAGGCTCCTGGCTTCAGATTGGTTCAGCCCCAGCCGTTGCAGTCGCTTGGGGAGTGAACCATCGGACGCAAGATCTTCCTCTCTGTCTCTCCTTCTCTCTGTATATCTAGCTTTCCAAAAAAAAAAAAGAAAGAAGAAGAAGGGGCCCGGCGCGGTGGCGCAAGTGGTTAAAGGTCCTCGCCTTGCACGCCCGGGATCCCATATGGGCGCCGGTTCCAATCCCAGCAGTCCCGCTTCCCTTCCAGCTCCCTGCCTGTGGCCCGGGAAAGCAGTCGAGGACGGCCCAAGGCTTTGGGACCCTGCACCCATGTGGGAGACCCGAAAGAGGCTCCTGGCTTCGGATTGGCATAGCATCGACCGTTGTGCTCACTTGGGGAGTGAATCATCTGATGGAAGATCTTCCTCTCTGTCTCTTCTCTCTGTATATCTGCCTTTCCAATAAAAAAATAATAAAAATAAATCTTTAAAAAAAAAGAAAGAAAAAGAATCTGCAGGGCGGGATGAGGGAGGACCCTGCTGTGAAATGTCTCCAAGGCCCGTGGGCAGTGTGACTTAGAGGCAGTGTTGGCATCACTGCTACATTCTGAGGCGTGTGTGTGCCTCCCTCGCCACCACCGTGGCCTTTCCAGCTTGGCGTCAGCCACTGCTCTGCAGCCTGCTGGTTGCGCTGAGAGGATGGCAAGGGGTTCTCAGACAAGCCTGTAGGTTCATGCAAGTTGAAGTTCCCAGTGTTGTGTCTCTGAAATAGGTCATTCCCTCCCTGGGGTGTGCCTACCATCAATCTCAGCGCTTGCTGGGAGCCCCCAAGGGGATCACTTGCGCTGTGGGATCAAGGGTTGTGTCTTCACAGGCCTGGCCAGGCTAGAGCCGAAGTCTCTGCAACCTCCGTGGGGTCAGGGCTTCGAGGGCCGCAGTGTTCCCAGGCCTCCACCAGGGGTCAGCGCGCCACTGGGCATCCATCCCTGGGGCTGATAGTGCCCGCCGGGGCGCGTGCGTCTCTTTCTCTCTTTCACTTCCTTGAAGGCCTTGTCCTTGGCGTCAGTGCGGGACCGGGACGCCTCCCCACCAGCAGACCGCCCGATCGCATCTTCTGACCTCGGGGGAATCCCACAGCCTCCCTCCCTGGACCCGCTTCCCCAGAGACTGGCTGGGGTTTCTTCTCTGTCCACTGCGAGCTCACATGGTCCGGTTTGATCTCTGGGGAAAATGGGAGGATTCGCGCGTTCTCTCCTAATGGTTTTGTCACATGTGCCAGAAACCAGTCCCCAGAGTCCTCCCCATTGCCCACTTGGGTGGCTGTGTGCTCACCAGCCTGCCCTCTCCTCTTTACTCTCCAGCATGGCTCAGGCCTATTATTTCCAGCACCCGCTCCCGACCCCGCAGCCACCTTCTCCCACACCTTGTTCCACATGCAACTCCCTCCACCCTTGGAGACCCAACTCATCACCCATCACGCTGAGGCCTGTCCTGACCACCCAGAGGCCTGTCCTCAACCCCTTCCTCCAAAAACCCCGCTCTCTCTCTCTCCCTGCTCAGGGCCAGGAGACAACCATGAGAGGACCCTGGCGGGCACATGAGCCAACTAATCCTGTTTCTCAGTCTGTAAACTGCAAACACAGTGGTGAGATCCCAACAACATGAGGTACAGGGGTGGGTAGGAGGCTGCTCTGGGTGGCAGGCATCTCCCCTGCCCTTCTGGCACCACTTGGCCCCCATCACCACCCTTTTGCACACTAACTATTTCAGCACATGCTCCCCCTGGCCCCAGGGCACACATGGGAGGTGGCACTAACTGTAGGCTCTGTGGGGACCTCCGGCCTGCACCTCATCTGCCAGGCCACACCCCAGCCATGGCAGGCAACAGCTTTGTAGTGGTCTGTTTTCTTCCCTTGGGGAGCGGGGGAGAGGAGGTGGTCCTCCCCCACCCCAAGTCCCCTGAGGCTGAGCAAGGAGCAGAAGGCTGGTGGGAGGTGCAGGAGGGGAGGGGAGGCGGGGCAGGGGAATACCGACCACACAATATTCCTAGTCCCAGCTCCCTTTTCCCACTCACCCCCACCCCCTCCGCCAAACACGATCCCTGGGTTAATTTTTAGCATTGCAGCTCGCACATTAGTCACTCCCTGTCACCCACCTACACCGCAGGAGGCTGCTGTGGGGGTGCCGTCATCCGCCCATCAGCTGCGAGGTGGGATCCAGCCCCTCCCTGGGTACCCCTCCCCTCCACGAGTGTGCACTGCAGGCCTGGAGCCCCCTCAGCCCAGAAGAGCCATTGCTGCGGAGAGCTGTGTGACATAGGCTTGGGGGCTGGGCTGCAAGGGCCCCAGGGGATGCAAGCAAGGAAGCCAGCGTGCAGCCCTCACCGGGGTGGGGTGCTTAGGCTGGGCCTGGGCAGCTGGTCTCCTAGGAGCCAAGGTGTAAACGGCCACTCCCCTGGACCTGAGCTGCTGTTTGTCAGTCTGCACAGCAGCTGTTCAAACAGGGAGCTGGGGAAGGGGGAGGGGGGGGAAACTCCATTTTCTTAATCAGATGTTCTCCATTTCCAGGACCCGGGGCAGGCAGGGAGCCAGCTGCAGGTGCCCTGCCTCAAGCGCAGACCCAGCCCCCAAGGGAATTTCTGGAGAAGGATCCACAGATGCCAGTTCCAGATGTGGCAGAGAAAGGGCCGGCCCCACCCCGTTCCCCAGGGCTGGGGGGCGGCGGGAGCTTAGCAGCCAGCCGTGAGCAGGGTCGCCCTGCAGGTGCAACTTTAAACAGGACTGGGCTTCTGATCTTGAAAAGTTTTGTTACCAGTCGGGGAAACACTGCCAGGGGAGGGACTTGCGACCTCAGGGATCAGGGGGCACCCTCCAAGAGTGGCTGCTCAAGTTGAGAGCCCCCTGTCCTGCAAGCACAGGTTGGTGGCAGCAGAGTGTGACTGGATGAGATGTGATGGATGCATAGGGAGAGGCAGGTGCAGACTGGCCTCACGCAGGGCATCCCAGGAGAGGTGAAGCAGTTGGGAACCGCACAAACGCACTGTTCTTTTGTCAACTGGCCCTCCCAGAGGGACAAGGTGCTAAGGAGAGGCCATCATAGTGTGAGGACTTTTTTTAAAAAAAAGATTTATTATCTTTATTAGAAGCATAGACTTTAAGAGGATATACAGAAAGATCTTCTGTCTGCCAGTTCACTCCCCAAATGGCCCCAATGGCGAGCTGAGCCCATATGAAGCCAGGAACTTCTTCCAGGTCTCCCACACGGTTGCAGGATCCCAAGGCTTTGGGCCATCCTTGATCGCCTTCCCAGGCCACAAGCAGGGAGCTGCATGGGATCCAGGTGCTTGCAAAATGAGGACAGGCTTTAGCCATTGGGCCACTGTGCCTGGCCAGTACTTTTTATTCCAGAGGAAAGCTCCATGGGTTTTGAACAGTGAGTCATGACTTGATTTCCTTTTTGAAAAGATTACTCAGTTGGTTATATGAAGGGCGGCCAAGGGGTGCCTGAGGGACCATGGGAGGCCAGCAAGGAGGGCAGTACTGCAGGAAGGAGGTGAGGGGGCAGCCTGGTCAGGAGACAGCCCACTTGAACTTTTTACACACTTGCATCTAATGGTTCATTTCCCAAATGGCTGCATTAGCAAGGGCTGGGCCTGGCCAGAGCCAGGGGCCTGGAACTCCATCCCATGTGGACAGCAGGAGCCCTTGTAACTGCGCTTTCTGCTGCCTTACTGAGCATGTGAGCAGGCAAGCGGTACAGCTGGGACTCAAATGGGTGCTCCCTGGAGAGACGCACTGTTGTCAAGGGTGGCTTAACCTGGTCCGCTGACCAGTAGCAGAAGGGAGGAGCCCCAAGACCAAGACCCAGCTGTGCCAGTGGCTTGCTTGCAATGTACCCCCGACAGGTTGCTTTCCCTCAAAAGGTGATTGTCTCTCAGTGATGCCAGGGCAGACATTGTTGAGGGGCAGTCTGCTACCCAAGATGGTAAAGCTACATATAAGACAAGGGGTTGCTGTAAAGAGTGTGTATCCAGGCAGGTGGGACCAGCACGCAAAGACCAGAAGACTCCTGGCTGTTGTCACATGGCAAGGTAACAGATGGGAATGAAACAGGGCTATCAGAGGCTGGAGTCCATACCTCTGAGTCAGTGGTGGTGGGAGGAGCCAGGAGCTCACTGGGCATAGCAGGCGCACACTCCCCAGGGGCGGGGTCTCCAGCAGGAAAGGGGTGCCCAATAAGTAGATTCCTGCTAGGATGAAGGCTTCATGCCACCTGCGCCAGTGTTGGGGAAGGGAGGTGAAGGGGGTGGGGATGTGGGAAGCGAGGCTCAAGGTCTGTAGCCGGTAGGCATGAAAGGCAGGCCCACACGTGTTAGGGAGAGCCTCCCAGACTATTCCCTGGCTGCAGGCTGCAAGAACTGCAATGTGAAATACACTGTGTGTAGATACAGCCACGCTGAGGGGGGGCGGGATGCCGAGTCCCAGCCTGCCTGGCCCAAGTCCTCCCCCCAGGCAGGCACCACACTGACACAGATGCAAAACACTGTCAATTTTATACAGTTTGTGGTTCATAAGCAACAATATGCAAAAAGTGGTGGAACAGTCTGTGCTGCCCCCACCCCCCACTCCTTCGCGGCCCCCACCCGGGCTGGGCCTCACGTACAGGCCCCTGGGGAGAGGAGCCCAGCCCTTAGGACATGTCTGGCCAAGAGGGGAAGGAGTGATGGGGGGCCCAGCACCTGCCATCCCTCCCCCCCAAGACCCTTGGCAACTGTGTGTATTCATACACAGAAACAGGAAGGGGGTGGTGGGGGCCAGTCACAGGTCGGGGGAGCCAGGGAGCAAGTAAAGCTGAGGAGAGGGCTTCGTGGGACAGGCACCCCGGCCCCTTGCAGGGAGGGGGTGGCAGCCCTGAACACCCCACAAGGCACTACCAGCCCAGGCTGAAGAGGTGGCACATCCCACCCCGTATCCCTACAAAACCTCTCCCAGATTAGGTCTGTTCCCCTCCTGCGACTTAAGACAGGAGAGAAGGGGTCCAGGCAGCCTACTTGCTCGGCAGGGACACACCTGGGCTAGCCAGGACACTGTCCCACTGCTCCAGGATGCTTCTGGCCCACGGACACCCCACTCCCAGGCCCCTTGGGCCCTTGCCCATTATGAATAAATAAATAAATACCTCCCCCGCCAACTTGCCCACCCACCCCTACAGCTGGCTCTCCTCCTCCTCCAGGGAGCGGTTGAGTCCGGGAATGAACTTGAGAAGCCTCCGGCGGAAGCTGCGATACTTGGTTTTGCGCAGGCCTGGGCCGCACAGGGCCTGCTCCCGGGCCTCAGTCCAGAGCGAACCACCCCCACCCCCACCGCCACCTGCCGGGCCCGGGCACCGCACACTGGCGCTGCGGCTGAGTGCAGCCCGTGGCCCGGGGCCCGGCCCAGTGGCTGGGGCTTCGACTGGGTTTGGGCCCAGACCCAGTGTGCGGGCAGGAGGTGGTGGCGGCGGCAGCTGGGGCGCTGGTGGCTCTGTGCCTCCGAAGAAGCACGTGTGATAGACGGTGTCGTCGGTGTCACCCCCGGCTCGTCGAGCAGCCCCGCGGGAACCCCCGGGCGCAGCGAGCAGAGGCCCAAAGGGCAGAGAGCCAGGGAGCAGGCCAGCCCCGTACAGGCAGGAACGCACCGACTCCAGTGTGTCATAAATGCTGGGGTCCTTGACCACGAGGCCTGGGGGTATCAGAGAGGGAGAAAGAGTAAGCCCAAGAGCCCCAAGGTCCTCACAGCCCAGGCAGGATCACCTGGGGGCCCCTGAACCTCCCTCCCACATCTGTCAGACAGGAACCCTCTGGAGACCCTAGGGGAGGATGGAGGCCCACTCTGGGCCTTGGTGTTCCCATCTACAAATTGGGGACAATACATTTACTGCTTGGAAATGAGTGAAACGTCCCAGGGCATGCCATGCCCAGCACTGTGAACACACAAGGGGACAATGGGTCATCGACTGGGGGAGCAAGTACCACCTCCATCCCCTCTCCCCAACTCACCGTGCACCAGCCGCTGCTCCTGCACCATGAGGGACCTATACTCGCCCCACTTCTCATACAGGGTTTGCTGCAAGAAACCCCCAGCCCCATGGTTAGGAGCTACAGGGAATGTGGCAGGCAGGTGCACACACCAAGAGCCAGGGCGGGGCGGGGGGGAGCAAGAGTAGAGTCGGGGGAAGACCCTGAGGTTAGAAGAGGTCAAGGGGTGGGGTCTGAGGGCCAGGGTGTGGGGAGTGAGGGGGTGAGCCTCTCACCACATGGACTCCTCACCTTCAGGTACTGCAACCGGGCTTCCAGTTCAGCCTTGCGAATCGACGTCCCATACAGGGTTTCCAGTCTAAGAGGGAGGTGGGTGTGTCAGGCGAGGGGGCCCGTGGGCTGAGCCCGCACTAGGAGGCCCTGCCGCCAGCAGCCATACCTGAGGACGTTGCCCGACGCCTTGATGATGTCCACAATCTCCCGGTGCCGGATGCCTTCCACGTTCAGGCCGTTCACGCTGGCGATGGTGTCCCCTGCCGGGCAGGGAGACAGGAATTAACAGGTGTTCCCAGGGCACCATGGGAAAAGTGCAGCCCTGGCCTTGCCTTGGCTGCAAAGTGAGGATGGATAATGACCCCTAGGGATATTCAATGTCCTCAATAACCCCCTCGCAGTCCAGGCGGACCTCCTCAGCCAACACACACACACACAAAGCCACAGCCGTCTGCCCGGCCCATAGCATCTGCCAAGCTGAGCGGGGAAGCCTTCAGACAGGTTGAGGGTTGGGCCCTTGCACACCCACACCCTTGTCCTACCCTATGGATGCTCTGTCCCAAAGCTGGGCCCTCCTAGGCGGCACCCCAGACACCAGACACCTCAGCTTCTGCCACCTGGTGACACTGCTCAGCTGCGTGCCCATGTGTACCAAGGGGCTGTGGGTCCTCCCTGGGGTCAGCTCCAGGATGCGCCTCAGGCAAGCTGCAATGTGTCCCTTAGCTACGAGGGGCTGCTGGTGAACGGACAACACAGGGGCAAGTCTACATAGCACGGGCAGCCAGAGGTGGGTCAGGACAGACTCTGGGTCTGATGGATGTCACTTCTCCCCAACTCCCGCCCGGTGGCACTGCCAGCTGGAACTCGAGGAGGTGGCAGTGTGCACCACTGGTCAGGCTCCAGGCTCAGGGAGTGCCTGACTGTACCAGGCTGCAAGGCGTCTTGCAGGTGGGAATGCGTTGGGAGAGTATACAGCAAGCTACCCTGGACCCGGAGTCGGGCTGTCCCTCCTTCTGGCTTTCCCATAGCAGGCAGGGGAAGCTGACTCCAGCACACACTTTTCACACCCTTTCCCGGAGCCCTCGTGGTTCCCCGGGCTCAGGCCCACCTGGCGTGAGCCCAGCCAGCTGGGCAGGGCTGGCCTCGTGCACACGGCAGACAAAGGTCACCATCTCCACACGCTGCTCTTCCCGATGGTGAAGGCCGTAAGTCTGGAGTGGACATGGGGTAGACAGTGGCTCAGTGCAGTAACGAGGCATGGTCCCTCCACCTCCCAGACCCCCAGTGGCCTCTGCACCCGCCTCTCCCACCTGGATCTCGAAGCCAAAGGTTTGGTGATCCTCCTTCTCCAAAGTCAGCACTTTCCTGCAAGAAGGCAGGGAGGCAGGTGGTCCCCAGGGTGCACCACCACACCACCGGCTCCCAGGGTGCCAGGGTGCCCAGCTCAGGGGCTGCATCCCTTAGGGAGCCACCCTAGCCCTGAGTGGGGAGCAAGAGGTGGTGGGGGGCACTGGCCACCAGCGGGAGGCGGGCTGGCTGAAGCTCACAGCTTCATAGGGGCTGTCCAGCAGCCCCAGAGAACTACTGACTCTCAAGGCCCTAAATTCAGGCCCCAACTGGGAGCCTCCTGGGTTTTAGGGGAGGACCCGGCCCCACCCCCTCAAGAGCCAGTCACGAGGCTCCAGCTTCAACGCAGACCACAGCTGCTCCTCCCAGCTGTGGTGGGGCCAGCCCACCAGATGTGAGGACTGGGGGAGGGGCACCTCGAGGCCGCCCCTTCCCGCACTGAAGGCCTGCCAGGCCCGCTGGACACAATGGTCTGGAGCCGCTCCAGGTCCTAGCCTGCTGGGGCGCCCAGAGTTTCCTCTGCCCAGCCCCCCACCTCCAGCCCTTCCCTTCCCGCTCCTGCCAGAGGCCCCTCTAAGTCTCCCAGGCTCAGGAAAGCCCCTGGAGACCAGGGCCTTTTTAGTCCCCTTGCCTGGTACAAAAACAGCCCCCCCCAGGACTGAGTGCACCCCCAGCTCCATCCAGTGACCCCTCTGACACCTGAGGGTCTGGGACCTCAGCACCCTCAGGATTTTTCTAGAAGGGGGTCAGTAATCTTTCTCAGTAAAGGGCCTGGGTGTGTGTGAATAGTTCAGGCTCTTCCTGTAGGCCCCAGGCCCAGCCTCCCGAGTATATTCGCCACCCTTTAGTAAATAAGGAAGCATTTCCTAGCCCACGGCCAAACAGGTGACCCTGGCCAGCAGGCAGCCCTGCGTCCTGAACCATTTCAGAGGTGAACAGGCCCAAGACAGAGAGAAGTCAATACAGCAAGGGGTTGCACACTACTCCTGTCCACACCCTGTACCCTCCCCAAGACAGCTGCCCGGGCTGGGACCAGCACACCCTGGGTCTGGGGCAGGACTGGCTGCGTGCAAGCCGACCTACGTGCCTTGGCTTTTGTGGTCTGGGTTTATGGAGGGACCCAGGGGTGCCCAGCAGAACCTGGGTGAGGGCAGTCTCTCCCCCTACCCTCCCACATGCCCCGTGGCCCACCACCTCCCGCCCTTCCACATCTCCCCAGGGAGGAGTGACTGGCAGGGACTGGGGGTGGCTCAAGGAGCACTTAATGACTCAAAAGTCCCCGTGTCTCTCTCCCTGTCATCCCCTTAACGCAGCCCACACCCCCACCTGCCCCTCACTCCCAAGCAGGGGAGCCATGCTCAGAGGGTGGGAGGACCCACTGACTGTGTCGTGCGCCCCCCCATTCTAGGCTGGGTGGGGGCGTGACTCACCGCTGTTGCTCTGGACTCTGGGTGAGATTCTTCCAGCGGAACCCTGAGCCCTAAGTGGGGAGATTGGAAGGGTAGGAACCAGTGAGGTCGGCTGTCCGTCACCCGGGACCCCGTGCCCATCTGTTGTTCCTCCCCAACGCCGTGCCTGTTAAGGCATCACTCTTTCTAAGCCTTCTATGGGTACAGCCCTTATTCTAGAATGATCTCCCCCGCAAGGCCATGTCTGGGGGCACTAGGGCCTCCTGCAGGCTCTGAAAGTGGAGAGAGGAGGGCAAGGACTGTCTTCCAGGGGTGTCTGTACCCCAGGGGGGCTGCAGCCAGGGACAGAAGTCCTCAAGCACGTGTTACTTCAGAGCCAGCTGCACCCTGCTACACCTGGGCTCTAGCGCATTGCCAAGGGTTTTGTTACTTTCTCCAAGAAGATCTTAAGAGTTCCAACTTGTAAGCCTACCTGTACCGGGGAGAGACTTGTGGGGCGGGGGGGGGGGGGGGTGATTGGGGGAGAGAGGCGCCAGAGCTGAAAGTCCCTGCCTATTGTAGGCCCTCGATGTCTCCTTCTTGGAAGGAAACCCCCTCCCAGAGTGGCTGGGGGCCCCTCCAACTGCCCCGAGGCAGGGGAGGGAGGTCTTATGGAGGGCCCCCCCAGGGCCAGCTACAGAAAACAGGACCCTATTTTACAAGAATCAAAGATTAGCTTCAAGGGTGGGGAAGGTTCCCAACCCGGCCAGGGAGGAGAGAGACCCTTTTGTCTTTCAACCGGATTTTCATAAAATGCAAATTCATAACAGGCTGTTCATTGTATGGGGGGGGGGAGGTGAGCCAGGGGGAGGAGGGGGCTGAGCGCAGAAGGCCAACACCCCCACCTAGCTCCTGAACCGGGGGCGTCGGGGCATGGGGTCCCCTTCGGGACAGAGGAAAAGCTTCGGGCGACCGGGTAGAGGGCGGGCGCCGCCCGCATCCTTCCTGCCCCGCGGGCGCCCTGCGACCCCTCCCACCGCGTCCGGTGGCGGCCCAGGCCAGGAGGCCCTGCCTCGCCGTCCGCACGTCCGGCGGGACAAGGCCGGGAAGCCAGCCGGCCGCGCTCTCACCAAGGCGGTGCGCTCCTGGGTCGGCGGCGCACCAAGCACTCTGCGCGCCCGTCCCGTCCCCGGGGACCCAGGACCCTCAATTTGTCCACCACGAGGGCCACGACCGCCATCCTCGACCCTTCCGTCTCCAACTTGGTAGGGAAGCCCTGGTGATAATGTCCCGAGTGTTTAACGAGACCCCTCGGGACAGGGAGACACGGGACATGGGGGGAGGGGGCCGAAAGCCAGTCGGAGCGATCGGAGAAAGGGGGTGCCGGGGCGGGAGAGCGGAGGGAGGGAGCGGCGAGGAGCCGCTCGGGGGTGAGGGGCTGCGCGGGGAGGCACGGGCGGGGGCGCACCTTGCGGCGGGGCAGGGTGCCCCCGGACACGGCGAGCGCGCGGTACAGCTCGGCGGGGTGATAGTCCTCCAGCGCCGCGTACAGCTCGTCGGCCGGCGGCCCGGGACTGGCGGCGGCGGCGGGGGGCCCCGAGGCCGGCGTGGCGGCGGGGGCCCGGGTGCTGGGCTCCGGGGCCGCCGCCGCCTCCTCCTTCTGCTGCAGCTTCCTGAGGCGGCGGAGGGTCATGGCTCCCGCGCGGGGCGCCCCTGGCACGCGGCGCTCGCTCGGCTGGGCGGCGATGCCCGCGGCTTGGAGAGGACCGCGGGGCGGGCCGCGGGGCGCCTCCCTTTGTAGGCTCCGGGAACGGGGGGCGGGCTGCGGGGCGGGGTCTCGTCGCTCCTCTCCGCTCGCCCCTCCAGTCCCTTCCCAGCGCCGCGCCGCAGGCTCCACCCCGCGCGCTCGCCGGCCGCGTGCTGGAAAGTCGGGGACCCCCCCCTCCAGATGTTGTGAGGGCGCTGCGCCGCGGGCCGCGGGGCTGGGGGAGTCTCTGTGCGTGATTCGTCCACGGCGGTGTGGTTTTGCTTGCGGGAGACTCGAAGTTTTGGGGTGGTGGTGGTGGGTGACTAATGTGCGGGGGACAGACACAGCAAGAGACCATCCATTATAGGAAAGTTTGAGGGTTCTTGAGAAGTTTGGGGGTTCCTGAAGAGAAGCTCGGGGGCCCGAGACCAGGGGACTGGGCAAAGGCAGGGGCTGGAGTTGGGGTGGGAGGAGCGAATAGGTGAGAGGAGGCGCCCCTAAAACGCGCCTAGGCATCTGCCCCATAATTGCCTTCCCTTCCCGCGCTAGATGAGAAGCAAGTGCGGTGGCGGCCCTGAAAGCCGCAGACTGCGTTCTGGGCTGTCCTCCTCCCAAACCTGCTGTGGTCCCCGGGTGAATAAAACGTGTGTTAGCTGTCAGGAGTGGTCGTGGTGGCGGTGTGCGGATGGGGGTGGGCTGAGTGACTGTGCCCAGGGGGACCCTGTCTCCGGGACGCCCCCCCCCCCCGCCCCACTGGTTGTTGCCATGGCTGCCAGGCTGCAGGAGAGGTGGGCAGGGCGCAGTCCAAGTCTGGCGTCAGTTGGTATCCAAATAAGAAGTGAGAGGAGGAAGTGGAAGGCCGCTGCTGGTGTGTGAGCAATGAGGGGCCAGCCGCCACAGGCCGACAGCCCACCCCGAGGGGCTGGGTCTGTCTGCTCCCTGGCTTTCCCCTCCTTCCTGTCGGTCAGGCCACACGTGGCTGACCTTTAGCAGTGTACGTGAAGCTGGGCACCTAGATGTTCTTGCATACTTGGGTGAACGTTTCTGCTTGCCATCAAAACCCTAGAGAAAGGGTACCAGTTATGGTCCGTTTAGGAACCAAGAGTAACTGCCCCAGGACATTCCGTGGACTTGTGGCCCAGGTAGCCTGGATGGAAGTATCCTGCCTGGGTTAGGTCTTCCTCGCCCCTTCCTGTCGCTGTTCCGCTGGGGACCAGCGGTGCGCAGTACCTGTGCTGTGTTACTTAGGAGCCCTTGGGAGTTCACGGGGTGTGTAGCTGGGCACCCCTGGGGGGTGCCTCCCTCTCCTCTATCTCAGCTTCTTTTTCATGACTTTGCGTTTGCTCCCCAGGGACCAGGCCTCTGGGGCCCCCAAGCGCCTACAGGTGTGTGAGTGGGAGCGGCTGTTTCTTTACCCCTTAGCCATTGTGCCAGTCCAGATGGCAGGATGCTGGCTGGTGGGAGCAGGGGTGGATCCGGGTAGGGGCGGAGGGAGCCTGCCTCTCCCTCCTCCACTGAGTGGGGTGTGGATGAGGAAACATGGGGGCTGACTGTACTTGGCACAGCTGGGCCCCCTGCCCACCTGTTGCCCCTCCTGGCCCTAGCGTCTGTGTGTGTGTGTGTGTGTGTGTGTGTGTGTGTCATCTCCTCCCAGTAAACAGCCTCTTCTGGGGTAGTTGCACCTGCCCATCCCAGAGGCAGCTCACAGGGTCACCTGTGAGCCTGAAACGGGGAGAGGCCGCCAGCTTAGGTGTCACACACACACACACACACACACACTTCCTGTGTCCCACAGTCCCTGCTTCAAGCAGCAGACAGGTCAGGGTCCCCCCCCCCACCTCTCCCAAAGAGAACACATTTTCTCATCTCCAGCATCTTCCTCCTGCCAGGCAGAAGATTCTAGAGAACCCAAAGGAAGGGTGAGCCCCGGAAATGCCCTTGGCATGGTTTCCTGAATTTCTGCAAGTTCAGAGCTGCAGAGTGCCTTAGGATCCGGCAGGGCTGCCCGGTGGCCCAAGCTCTCGTTTAACAGGAATGATGTTGGCTGAACAGACGCTGGACCCCAGGTCTCTGCCTTCCCAGGCTGTGTAAGTTGGCTGCTGGTCTCCCACCCCTCCGCAGCACCCTAGGCACCAAGGTCAGAACCTGCTCCCAGCACCCGCTTCCTCCAGGGAGGCGAAGGAGTGTGCCCGGGATGCCTCTCTGTGGAATGATGATGCCCTCTGCTGGTCATGAGTCTCTGGCTGGGGGGGGAAAAAAAAACTTCCAAGATAAGGGCCACTGATGTTCCCCCAGGCCTCTCTCCCTTCCAGGTAGCTGTGTGTTGGGCGAAGACACTGCAGAGCCCTCGCACCTGGCGCAGGTAGCCAGTTGTCTGGTAAGGTGCGAGCTGCTACCGCCCAGCTGTGGGGGGCGGGTGGCTGGAGTGAGGCGCACCCCTCCTCTGCGACCTTCTTCCAAGCCCGGGTGTCTTGTTTGGCCTCAGTTCTGCTTCTCATCCTGGCTCCCGCTGCCCTTTGAGATTGGACTGGCAGGGGAAGAAGGGGATGATGGGGAACGTGCGAGCATTTTGCACCTGATTGGAACTTCCTCTTCTAGGACCCCGCCCCCTCCATTCCCCTCTCTTCTTGCAGCTCCCCTATCACCCCCCCCCCAACTCAGGCTCCTTAGCCATCTGAGCTTTTCCAAAGCGAGCTCCCTGGTTCACCTTCTTTTTGCTCTGGCTGTCCTCACTCTGGCTCTCAGGATGGGTTTTAGGCCAGGGTGAGGCTTGGCTGACGGACAAGCCTGTTTGATGCCCCTTCCCTTCAGGACATTGAAATTGACTTGGTGAACGAGCCATGCAGAGTTGGAGCCTGCCCACCTCACCCTGCCCACGTTCTTGGGGACTTTAGGAAGCCCCCCAGCCGCCACCACCATGCATTCTTGCAGAGTCTGGGGCGATTCTCAGAGCTCCAAAAGGGAGCTGCTGGTGCTGTGGCGTCCTTAGAAGCTGAGGAGCTGGGAGGGATGGGGCTTAGTGCCCAGCTGGCTCTCTGGCCTGCCAGGAATGAGGGGCTGGGCCTCCAGTGACATGACTTGGCTGCTTGTGGGAGGCATGGACAACAGGTGGGCAGCTGACTCGGTGGGGAGTGCTGGTGTTTCCTTATTGCAAAGGCTGAGTTACATAGAGAGAAGGACTGACAAAGGAAGAACTCTTCCTTCCCCTAGTTCACTCCCCAACTTCTGGGCTTCCCACGTGGTTACAGGGCCCTAACCACTTGGGCCATCTTTTTCTGCTCTTTCTGGCGCATTAGCAGCAAGCTGGAGAAGCTAGGACATGAACCAGCACCTGTATCCGTTGCCAATACTGCAGGTGGCAGCTTAACTCACTGTGCTACAGTACCAGCTCTGATTTTTTTTTTTAATCGCAAAGATATAAAGAAGAAGAGGAGAGATAGTGAGGAAGATCTTCCGTACAATGATTCACTCCCTAAGTGACCACAATGGTTGGTGCTACGCTGATCCAAAGCCGGGAACCAGGAGCTTCCTCCAGGTCTCCCACACGGGTGCAGGGTCCCAAAGCTTTGGGCTGTCCTCGACTGCTTTCCCAGGCCTCAGGCAGGGAGGTGGATGGGAAGTGGAGCTGCTGGGATTAGAACAGGTGCCCATATGATATCCTGGCGCATTCAAAGCCAGGACTTTAGCCGCTAGGCCACCGCGCTGGGCCCTGATTTTTCTTAATGATTGCTCAGCCTAGGGCTGCAGTACCCATTGGTTTGTGTAGAAGACAGGGCTGGAGACAGAACTGACCCAGCAGTTGCAACCACCAGCATGTGCATAAGCTGATTGGGGCAAAGGACTGTGCTGGACCCTGTACTAGCAAGCACACACAAGAATCAGGTCTGGGATCACTTCAGATGAAGTTTCTATGGGGATCCCCCAACTGAATTGCTGGACTCAGAACTCCAACCATGGAGAGAATTGCAGGTTCCATGGTCTGACTGTGGAGTGCATGTGTCAGAGCTGGGCCTCCTCAGTGGCTTAGATGGAGCAGTGGACAGCATATCCAGGTGCACATGGAGGATATGGCAGTCCATTGGAGCCTGCAGAGGACACCTGGTACCATAATAGAGGACAGAACAAATGAATCAACTACCCCAGCCAAATGTTGGCAGCGAAAATCTGGGCAAACGGAGACTCTAAGGTGGATTATATCAACCAGTAGATTCTGAAGACATTTCATCATGCATGGAATGGCAAGATCGGCAATAATTCAAATATACTGAACTATCAAAACCTCATGAGCAGGACCCTCGGAGCATGCCTCACACTGGGGACCCTGGGGTGGTGTCAGGTGGCTGTCCTCCATCCCAGGGTGCAGAGGCCTTTGGGAGGCTGGGTGTGGCTTCTCCCCTTGTCTCCTCCTTTCCCCCAGATACAGGAAGGAGAAAAAAAATGTGGAAATGGTGGTCTTACCCACCTTCCTGTTGCCCCTGATCCTTAAACCCTTAATCAACTATGTAAAAATCACCAAAAATAAAAATAATTATTGTTTTAAAAGAAAATAATAACAATAAAAATATAGAAATACAAAAAAGTAAAAGAAAAATTGCTTAGCTTAGCAATCTCCGTGGGATAGTGTGTGTATTGGCCCAGGGAGGAGGCCAGTGGTAGGACTGAGTGGGCTCAGTCTGAGCATCCCATTCGGGGTGGCTGGCGATAGGGAAGCTGGATTTCACGGGTTCTTTTTGCCTTGGGTGTGGGCAGGGTCAGGGTCAAGTCCCGCCCAAAGACCGGGGACTGCCTTGCATCTGTGGAGGTGCCGCTGAATCTCCAGCTCAGACAGATTTGGGGGTCCAAAGAAAGGTGAATTGCTACCCACTAATCCCCAAGCCTGGGCCAGGAGTCCCCCCGGGAGTCCAGCTGAGGCAGGTCGCACCCACCCATGCCTCAGCCTGTGGGTTCTACCCACCCTCTCCCCTTGGTTCCAGTTCACTGGGAGACCTTCCACAC